GGAGACTACCAATCCAAAACCGGCTCTCACGCCGCCCACGAGCGAGGACATGGACAACAGGAAGGAGAGACTGTCATCGGAGCTGTCCGAGCTCGATAGCGACGACGATGTGGAGGATATCGAGCCCGCATATTACTTCGAAGGCGGAAAGATTCCCGTATTCCAGCCGGTATGTTGTATCACCACCGAGAGGTCGTCGCGCTGTGCGGGGAACTCTGCGCCGAGTCGCAAGCTGCTTTGCATGTGCTTGAAACATATTCCTTGCTGACTGGTAGTGCTGCAGACAATGGACCAATTTAGGAGCTTCAAGAAATTCATCGAGAAGGTTAACAAGTACGGCATGAAGTCCGGTATCGTCAAAGTCATTCCCCCGGCAGAATGGTATGTGTCACTGCGAGTTCAACAACCGAGGTGTATCCTAACAGAGTCGATGACAGGCGCAACTCGCTTCCCGACCTTGCAGAAGCCGTGAAAACGATCAAAGTCAAGAACCCCATCACGCAAGAATTCGCCGGGCAGCATGGCATCTACACGCAGAACAACATTGAGAAGCAGCGATCGTATAACCTGCCGGAGTGGCGAGCCTTGACAAATGAGCCACACCATCAGCCTCCAGCGAGAAGAGGGGAGAGGCGCAAAGCTGCTGCCGAAGCCCCTAAACGCACGCGGGCAACGCGCGCGCAAGCCGCATCAAAGGATGCAGATGATTATTCGCCTGCCACGAAGCGCGGACCTGGTCGACCTCGACGTAGGCCGGCGAAGAAGGAAGAAGCAGTCGAGGAACAGGAAGCTGATGACGAGATTGAAGTGCCCCCAACCCCGAAATCCCCCGGCAAGGAAGAACCAGAGAAGAAGCCATCTAGGACGAGAGTCAAGAAAGAGGACCGAGAAGGTTCCGCAACGCCAAAGCAACGCGGACGTCAGCCGAGATCGACAGCATCACGAAGAATGAACAACCGGACAGAAACCTCAAACTACATCGATGAAGAGGCTTTCGAGGACTTTGATTACCATCTTCCAGGTCTGGAAGAGTACACTGTCGAGCGCTGCAAGGAACTAGAGGAAAATTACTGGAGAACCATCAACTATGGCCAGCCTATGTACGGAGCTGATATGCCAGGTTCCCTCTTCGATGACCAGACTTCCAGCTGGAACGTCGCGAAATTGGAGAACCTGCTGGATATCCTTGGAACGAAAGTGCCGGGTGTCAATACCGCATATCTCTACCTGGGAATGTGGAAAGCCACTTTTGCCTGGCATTTAGAGGATGTGGATCTGTACAGCATCAACTACATTCATTTCGGCGCTCCCAAGCAGTGGTACAGCATCTCCCAGGAAGATGCTCGCCGTTTCGAAGCCGCCATGAAAACCATCTGGCCCAATGATGCCAAGAACTGCTCCCAGTTCCTTCGTCACAAGACCTATCTGATTTCTCCGGCCCAGCTCGAAAACAAATTCAACATTAAGGTCAACAGGCTCGTCCATTACGAAGGCGAATTTGTCATCACATATCCATATGGATACCACTCCGGTTACAACCTTGGTTACAACTGCGCCGAATCCGTCAACTTCGCGAACGAGTCGTGGCTGGAGTTTGGCAAAATTGCCAAGAAGTGCGAGTGCGAGTCCGACAGTGTGTGGGTTGATGTCGGAGAAATCCAACGCAAACTCAGGGGCGAGCCCACCCCGGAATACTACGAAGAAACGGATGACGAGGATGATGAGGGTATTGACCATTTGCCTAGTCCTCCCCCAAGTGTTGCTGGGAAGCCCAAAGGCAAGGCTAGTCGCAAGCCGGGCAACAAGAGAAAGCGTGCCAACGAGGAGCCGAAAGAAGCACCTAGGCCTAAAAAGCTCAAGCGCATCAGGATCCGCATCAAGGTACCTGGTAGAGGCATGCCTTGCGTCTTGTGTCCCAACGATGTTGACTTCGATGAACTACTCCCAACTGATAATGGTCTCAAGGCGCATCGGCTGTGCGCTGATTACACACCGGAGACTTTCATCACTTCCAAACCCAACGAGACGGTGTGCAATGTGGCGAACATTGGCAAGGATCGGTTGGAGCTGAAGTGCAATTACTGTCGATCCAAGCGCGGGGCCGTGTTCCAATGCTCCCAGAAGAAGTGCACCAGGGCCTTCCACGCCACGTGTGCTGCCGCTGCCGGTGTGCAAGTTGATCTGGGTCCAATGCCGACATTTGACGAAGAAGGGACCGAGTATTTCTACGACGGTTATGATTTCCGATGTCGCTTCCACCGACCCAAGAAGAGGAACCTGAAGAAGGTTACTTCCGATACTCTCGACAATGACAAGTTCATTATGAACTACGCCAAGACACTCAAGGCGAAGGATGTCGTTCAGTTCCAATACCTCGATACCGAAATGTACCAGATATATGGAGGCCTGGTCATCGAAAATCGGCCCGGCGAGTCAACGCTTCTTATCGAGGTGCTGCCTGATAGGTAAGTAATGTATTCTCTAACTACGCCAAAGGACATGCTGACGGGTGTAGTGATCGCATCGAGGTTGAATGGAAATATCTCCTCGCTTTAGATTCAGTGGACTCGGAGCGCCCGAAGCCCTCTGTTAATGCTAAGCCATTGCCCGAGCATTTACAACAGAACGACTCCTCACTAGCGATCACGAACCGCACCGATGGTGTTCCGGAGATGGGAGATCCCTTCCAAGATCCGAACTCTGAGCAGAAGTGGGCGGAGTTTAACACTGCTGCAGAGGTCACCCATAAAATTGCCAAGGTCGACCTTGCCAAGCCTGATCGTCTTTGGCACTATCTCGGGAAGACTTCGACCGAAGCGAGACCGCAATACACTGAAGACCCTACGAAACCCAAGCACAACATGAAGAGTAACTTCTTGGAGACCGTCAAACCCGCGCCAATTCCCATTCCCCCTATGATAGGTCGTTCGTATCCAGCATCCTATCCTATCAAGCCTGCACCAGTGTCCATCCCGCCTCGAACGCCCCTTCAACCATACATTCAACCGGCTGATAAACCTTATGCGTACAAGCCACGGACTGAGCAGGCTTACAGGGCCCCAGTGTCCAACTACTCGCCGGACACACGGAAGAATCCCAATTCGCCTGTGGCACATCAACCCAATGTAGTATACAATCACCGAGCAACTCCTCAATATGGATATTCCCCGTACTCCAACGGCTACCATCAGCACCGTGTCCCCGTCACCAACACTCACACCTTCCATCATTACACTCCGCCCCAGCAGCCCCCCGCCACCACCGCCGCCTCCAACTGGAAACCGGCATCAACATCTGGACCTCTACTTGAAGGCATCGATCGATATGCCCAATCCGGCCAATCACTTCCAGCATATCCATATTACCAAGCTCCTCCTAATGTTCCTAGGCAAATACCACCGTTTCCCCATGCCCAGAGTCCTGGCCAACGTCCGCTGTATAGTCCATCCGCTGCAACAACCGCACCCCCGCCGCAAGTGCAAGACCTTGCGCGCAACATGGCGCCACCTATCATGAGTAACCCTGCTGGGCCATCCAAGTCTCCTAAGTACGCCAGTGCCACTCCTTCTTCTGTTTATACTGCCCAAACCCCATTGTTACAGAGCGAGTATCTTGCCTACGTCACGAAGTATCCTTATCTGAAAAACGCATTTCTAAGGAGAGCACAAACTTACATTTCTCCTTATAGTCCAAATGGTGGCTTCACGTCGGAATGGATGCCCAAGCCAGGTAGTACGCCAGCAAGCGCTGCACCAAGGCCCTCCTCTACCAATCGCACCCCTCAAGGGCTGGGACTCAACCTCAGCGGAGGATATCAACACAATCTTCCTCCGCCTAGGCCTTCTTTTCAATTCCAGACACCCGATGCGTTTCAGCGCGACATGGCCAAGGCTCAATCCGGGATGCCAAAGTGGGAGTCTAGGATGATGCAACTTGCCGCTGTCCCCGGATCGACCTCTCAACCCGGAATGACAGCATCCGCTAGTGCCCCGTTTTTGGGACCGCCGTTACTTCCCCCACCACGTGCATCCTCTCTATCACAGGACACCTCGAAGACCGCGACTCCACCAGCGAAAAGCTATACTCCACCCCTGCCACCGCCTGCCCATCTTCAGCAGCCAATGCCAAGCCCTGTTAGCGATGGTCTGAGGAGTCCGAAGCGGCCAGAGTATAGTCCGATCAGTGACGATGAGAAAGCGCCCGCGCCGAAGCCGACGTTAGCACCGACGGCACAGGCACATGCTGGGGAAACATGGCGGTATTCTTGAGTGTTCAATAGCATTACTTGGTCTGAGCGGTTAGGATGGAGTAATGTCCTAGACGCTGGCTTTGGCCTTTCTACGGTAATGTCTTTGAGGACGTATGGATCGGGCTATTTTATACATGGGAATCGGAGGACTCCGCCTCGTTGCATGGATTATGAATGGATGAATGAATCGGATGGCGTATGGGAGTTTAGTCAGGATTCAAGTTTCGTGCAAAAACGTAAGGGTTCTCATAAGGGAGGATGGGTGGATGGGCACTGTACGAATACACATACTTCCACAAATGAGATGATACATGCTTTCGCTTCACTATGATCGTTTTGTGTTGAAGCTCGGAAGGAGCTGTTGTGATTAAAGTAATTCTGGGATTGATTGCAGAAATCTCGTACATCTGTCGCTTGTACAGGGGGAGTCTTTGATGGGACAAAATCAGAGGTGAGCAACCGTGTCTTTCCTCTTTCATCTTCCATAAGCTCGTTCTACCAAACTAACCCTGCCATCATCTCATCCCGATCTGCCGTTGCGTTACACAATCCTCAAACATTCCCTGCACGTACCCGCGCCGCCTCCCTCCTGGCTCACCGCCCCCTTCTCCTCGTAACGCAATCACGTCCTCCCCGTAAGTCCCCGTAGGTTCCCATCTCCTTATTCACGGAATTCCTGGTGTTGCTCTGATTGTACATGTGTATATATTGAGTATAACATATGGGAACTCATATAAATCAAATAGCTTCATCCGTTGTAGTCCAGTGGTTAGGATGTCTGGCTTTCAGCTCACGCGGGAGTGCCCAGGAGACCCGAGATCAATCCTCGGCAACGGAATTATTTGATTTATTTTTGCTTCTTGTTTTTGAGTGGGGTTGGGGTGTAAAATGGAATGGAAATGGTGACGTGGTTGGAGTTGATGACTCTGTCTTTTTGTCTAGTCTACTTTTGATTTCATTTTCTAGCATTCTGAGCTTCGGGAATAGAAAGTTAGCTGGTAAGAGCTGTGGGGTGGTGGAGCTGACATGGGTGCACCATCGTATAGTTGTTCGTGATGCGACACTAGGGTGTATGGATATGTGGGCACCTTCATGTTGGAGTGGTTTTTCCAAAGGTCTGTAATTGGTACAGGATGGTTCCGCATCCGATGTTCATATCTTAGTGGTACTTATTTAACTTATCGTGTGCGAAGTCTCGAAGCAAAAGCACCATATCAGATGTTCCTATTGTTTTGCACTCACTTAACATGCACATATGCTTCTCGAAAGTCTGTTGGTTGCGGTGTCTAACATAAATGCAATGGATTCGTATTCACCACATCGTATGACATTTCGTATACTTGCGTTACTCTATACTCTACTTGTTTAGGTGTGTGCGTCATAAACTTGCGTGTTTAGTACCAGGGTGCCCGTTCAAGGCAAGGGGACGTAAAGCCCTCACTCTACCGTGCGTAATACGAGACATCATGAATCTAAGCCTTGCTGCCAACGTCCCTCCTTGTATGATTCCTAGCCTGCTAAATCCTGGCGTGGGACTCTGCTAGCCAAGGATAGCAGGGAAAGGTTGCGACGGCCCGTAAGCTCTGTGGTACTGTTACTTCGTATACGCCCCGTCAGTGTACTATGAAACATGAAACATCAGGCCGGCCAACAGCACGCCCTAAAGCTCATTTCCATTGTGCGAGGGCAGTGCTGAGGTTTGCTGGTTCCTGTCGGCCGATACGAGGCGCTACTTCCGTTCAGCTATAGTCTTCCTATTTGGGAACTCGGCATTGCTAATTGCAACCCTTCACCTACCTAGGTACGAATGATTGCATGTGAAAGACCCACGTCATAGCCATAATTTCTGTCATGTCATGTAGAAAGTGGAGTGTATTGTAGCACCAACCTAACAGGCTGGGCTGGGCAGGTCGCTAGACGCGAAGCAAACGCTACAAAAAGGATGACGCGGAAGCCCTCGTACAACCAGAAAAACCCGCTCAGTTACGCCAACGGGACCGACATGATCATGAAACAAGAAACGCTCGTCGCCCAGACGCCAACGCTAGACATTTAGAAATCCTCCTCGGTCTCGCGGAAACCTGTGTGACATGTGGATTGGAAAAAATAAGGGCGCCTGTCCGAACGAAGGTACGGTTGGGTTGACGAGAAGGATGGAAAAATAGAGTAATGGGATGCGGTGAGAGCCCAACGATTTGCGGTCAACACAAGTTCGACCACGTCACATATGCCCTGCAAATCCCCTCTAGTCCTAACAAGGAAATCGAAGAGAAAAAGAAAAGAAGAACCACCCCGTACCCATCAAACCCAGAGATCCCCAACATCCGTGGCAGTCCCCACTTGCGGCCAATCGCACGCGCTTGGAAACTTGAAACATCGGCCGGATGCCGGAAATTGGCCCCGTTGAGCAAGGTTTGATGCACGTGATGGATGACGAGCGTGCGCGCATCCCGATGCGACCCAACACTGACCGCGTCGGCATCCAAGCGTCTGGTGTTGCCTTGCTGCTTATCGCGGGCCTCGTATACCACAACGAAAGACGATAAGGACCTGGGAAAGTTGCAAAAAAGTGGACGGGAGCTAGAAAAGGTAAAAGGTGTTGGAAAGATGAAACGAAGGACTAGCTACGTCAGCGCACAGGTCGTTTACAGTTTGCGCTTGGGATAGTGCTGAGAACCGTGGTGGTAACGTACGAGGAAGATCCTGGCGAGACTAGCTCGTCTTCTGCATTCCCCAGATTCCTGTTGAGGCTTTGCAGAGAAGGCGTTTCTGGTTGCGATGATCTGCTTTCTAAAGGCTCCTGCCTCTGCGCGTAGAGGTGACGATGCGGGCTACGATCCGATGACTCCGTTCCCCTCGCAGTGTTCGCATTGTGTCTCGCCAGACTCTTTGCAATTGCCGCAGCCGGAGCCGCGGCAGTCCTCGCACTTGATGTGACCGGTGCCTTCGCAGGTAGGACACTGCATATTGTTGCGGCTATTGCGGCTTCGGAGTAGCACGTGGGCAGGGAGCTGGTCGATAGGGCCGGGGGGCAGTGCCGGCTGATGCGCAGTATTCAGAGAATGGGAAGGAGAGTTTGGTGCAGAATCGAATTGCGGGCAAGTCTATGTGAAGAAGGGGGTATCTTGTGAAGAAGCGAAGTGGTTACGAAGGAGTGTTCTGGAAGCCTGGAAGGAGTGCAGCTGAAGATTCGGAACTGGAGCGGTTCTGGCAGCTTCAAGGCAGACGGGCCCCTCCTTTTATAGTCCAGCACGTATAGCAATTCGGGCTTAATCTGGCAACCCAGGTATCTATACCGCCTTGGACGTGGAAGGCGGCTCAGCCACGGGAAAAAGCATGACCACAGGGCCCCATTGCAGTGTTGCCCGGGCGTCGGTGGGCAAGGCAGGCGACCATTGCACCACGAGCGAGCACCGGAGATGAGTGGCCGACGCAGGCCAAAGCATGGCAATGTTCACAGAGTGGTAACCCGAGAAATCCGCTGGCTTGTGGCTTTGCGGCGTGGCACCAGTGCAGTGACCTCCAGCCAGGGCAGAAGAAGTGCCTGGGAGTGACGTTGGTCTGATCAGCAAAGGATACCCTAGCTCGCTAATCGCTATGACATCCACGCTACAAGCCCATAGCCGGGTGATTGCTCCGGAGGAATTTCAGGCACGCGCGAGGCACTGCCGTGTGGCCCGTCTCACCATGTTCCTGATCCTCAAGTCGACGGCGCGCAACGTTTGCCGCACGGGGCAGACAAGCGCGGACAGTCAGCCGGTGACGCAGTGCTGGCGAGCCAGATATTGCGAAGGGCGAAGGACCAACAGCGTACGCACGCTCCCAGAGGACTGGTCGCCAGCTGTGAGGGATAGATAGGGCGTCAGGCTCAACTGTGAAGCCTGCCTGATGGGGAAACGACACACGTGGCGGCTGCAAGAGCGTTTGCTTGCGAGCCGACTCAGGGTGGGTAGGGCTGAGCAGCCATTGGGCAATGCAGACGACTCCCGCGCTGCCTAAACACGCTGTGGTGGTAGTGCGGGATGGACGAAATTATGGGAGGACTCCTTGGCACGCGTGGTGGGCCAATATGTCTCGTATCGTGTACTGCCGTGTAACTACCTCATTCTCAAAATGACGCGGACAATGTGATGATAGGACTGAAGTGTCAGGCAACAGGCAACAGGCAAGCCATACTCTTGACGGGAGGTATGTTGCGAGGTTTATTGGAGGAATAAGAAATGACTGGATAAGCTTATACAAGCACTGCCTACCTTGTGCTACCCGAGAGGTACTACGACTACGTAGAGAAGGCAAGATAGCATGCATATACGCGAGGCCAACGACATCATCGAGGTCCTTGTAGAGGTCACGCGGAGAGGATCCTAGCATGCAGTACGCTGGATACGGCTGCCCCCTCTGTACATGCACGTACAGTGACCACTGGCAGATATTAAACGGATCAAACCCTGTTTTTATATTGCAGCAAGCTGGCGCGTGAGCTTTTTCCCACACCTGCATCTATAGTTTCGCTTTAGCCTTTGCCCATAGGCTCGGACGCTCCAAATTCGCTGGCCCGTCGTAAATATCCCTCTCTACTGCACGCGTATTGATCTGCTACACATCAGCTCACGTTTTTGAACTAGATAGGGTGCATTATCTCGCGCGTAACACTTACGTGGTGCATGCCGAGCTCGTCAATCCTTCCCACACCCAGCAGACGCATGCAAGTTTCGGTCTCGGCTTTGAGTACTGGTAGACAGCATTGTCAGCACGGAGCAAGATGATCCGAGAAGCCCAACCCCGTCGATGTGGGTCGACGCAACGAGCGAGCAGATAACTTACTTCCGAGGACGCGTGCAACGCCTTCTTTGCCTCCTGCCCCAAGTCCGAATAGCGCTGGCCGGCCGATTCCGACGCCCTTTGCCCCGAGACAGAGAGCTTTTACGACATCGGTACCGCGCTTGATACCTCCATCGACCCATACCTCAATACGGTCGAGCACCTCGGGACAGTACTTCCTAATCTCAAGCAATGTGTGTACAGCCGGTGGAGCGGTATCGAGCGCGCGGCCACCATGGTTCGATAATATTATACCCTTGACTTGCGGAGCATGGAGACTAGCGAGATAAGCGTCTTCGTGCGTTTGCAGACCCTTCAGAACAATCGGCAGATCCGTATGCTTTGCCAGCCATGGCAACGTCGTCTTCCAAGTCAAGTCTGCCGCAGTACCCCAAAACAGGCTCTGGCCCATGCCCATATTCTTTGGTGGCCCCGTCTTCGAGTCTTCCGATGTTGTTGATGTTGAGCCCCCTCCCTGGACGGCCGAAGGAACTGGTAGATTGGACGCAATGTTCTTACTTCGTTCGTCTTCCTCACGCTTTCCGGGGACAGGAGCGTCCAATGTAAGACAGATGAACTTGATAGCAGGCAGCTTCTTCAACCTCTCAAGCATGGCCTCGCTCTTCGCCCGCTCGTTCTGTACGTACAGCTGCCACCCGAATACTTGCCCTGGTTTGGCGTCTGCCACAATCTGCTCAGGCGTCATGGAAGCGTTCTGTGAGATAAGCTGCATAGCACCATACTGTTCACACGCCTGCGCAATGCCATGTTCTCCATCTGGATGTGCCAGCCGAGCCATGGCAGCTGGCGAGACATATATGGGTAGTCCGACGTCATGGCCTAGCAGCGATGTCGATGTATCGCATTGTGTACAATCTACGAAGATCCTCGGCCTTAGCAGGATCTGTCGATAGACTCTGTTGTTGAAGGATTTGGACGCCAAGTCGTCACTGGCGGAGTAGTAGTATGCCCATGCCTTGCGACTGATCTGTTTTGTCGCCACTTCTTCAATCTCAT